CCTCCGCGGCAGTCAGTGAACGCACTCTTCCTGGCACGCTGGCGGAAACGTCAGCCGGCTCCTCCATGACTGCGGAACAGAGAACGCAAAAGAAAAGAGAAAAAGAGAAAGAAAGTAAAGTCCGTTCCGTAGGAGTCTTTGAATCCTGCCGCCCAGTCAGTCGTGAGTGCGTATCCCCCAGCTGCGGCCGTGTCGCTTTGTTAAGTTGTTCGCGCCTCAATGTGTTTTCACCTGAGCAAAAAGCAAAAAAACAAAAACAAAAAAAATTATCTAACATCCGCATGCATGCAGACGCACGCAGAAACCCAGAAGAGAAGAGAAGTGCAAATGCGCATGTGAGTTTCAATCCCACCACCACCAGCTTCACCAGCGTGGGCTGCACGCAGCATCTCCACAGAGAGAGAAACAAGAAACAAAGAAACAAAGAAACAAAGAAAGATACGTTGAAGACGATAAAACCAGCAGACGCATATCATATACAAGAGCCCAGCACATAGACGGCAATATAAATATTTATTGCTTACGAAGAAAAGCAAAATATCTGCGGGTGGACGTCGTTCCCAGCGCGGCACCTACACAGAAGAAAAGTAACATTTTACATCTGAAAAGACGGCACATGAAAGCACGCGTCGTCCCACTCCCCGCCCCTCGCAGCGGAGGCCCACAGCCAGCAGTGAGGCGTGCTGGCAAAAGAGAGAAGAAAAGCAAAAATGAAAATCACACGCTCCCGCTCCATGCACATCGCACAACGGCGTCTCCAAGCGCAGTGTACAGCACCCTCCTCTCGTCCTTCACCCCCTGACGTCCAGACAAGTGCGGCCGCTCCGGCCTGGTGTGCCAGACCGGCTTTAGCTGACGCAGCGCCACAGCCCCCTCCTTCTCACTCCCTGGCAACGCTGAGATCTCCACTTCTGCCGCCTCAGGTGGGAGATCGTGCAGCGCCCCAAGACATTCCTCGAGGACTCCTTTCACCTTTTCCAGGTAGTGCTGCTCCTGCAACAGCGCCCGCGCCGCCACCACATACACAACGTGGGTGGGACAATGATCGGCAGTCGAGAGAGGCAGAGCGTTAACGGCAGCGGCTGGTAGCCCAGCGTCAGCGAACGCAACAGCAACCCCAGCACTCTTCTCAGCAGCCGGAACATTTGCGACCTCCCTAGATGCTGATTGCTCGGACCTCACGGCCTCCGTGGCGCGAGGCGCAGACTCCTCCGAGGCCACGAGCTGCGGCAGGCGTGCCCCTTCCGTTGATGCTGCCGGTGCGCACTCACCCGGCTCAGACCCCTGCGGCACCTCCTCCACTGGCTGAGGGTCAGGCAACGTCTCAACGCAGCCTCGGAGGCCTGCCGCATCGATATCAACGCTTTGCGTGGTGAGAGTGCTTCGACATGACTGAGACACGTGAACCCCGTGGCCTTCACGCCTCGACGGTGCCGCGGTGCTTGCCCTCAACGAGACAAGCGGTTTGTACCGTTGTGACTTCAATTTGAACCTCTCCCACGGTATTCGGTAGGGTGGCTGCTCCTCGAGCGCCGTCGCAATCGGACACCTATCCACGCTGACGGCGGCTGGTGCTGCCGTGTGCAGCCGGCGTTGGGCACAACTGACGTTGCCGCTGCACGGGGCAAAATGGGGAGCGTGCGGTGTTATCCGCCGCAGTCCCTTCCGTGTGGTTGCTTCCACAACGGGCATCCATCCCTCAGCCAAGTACGCGGCTTCCCTCGCTCCGCCGTCGCCCAGCGTACTCCGTTGGCCCTGCTGGGCCTCGCACTGCTTGTGGCCACTCGTCTTCTCTTTTGCAGGTGTGGTTGGGTACGTGCGCGCCGCCACGCTTCGCGCAGCATTCTCGCACGCCCCCGACGGGCATGCCGTCATCGTCATTGCCGCGTTCGCCGCCAACGGCGCTCTGCCGCACTCCCGTGCACAGTCATCTGGCTCCATCACGAAAATTACTCCGCAGCTCGAGTCGCCCCGTCCTTCTCTCGCTGCGTATGTGTATATTGTGTGTGTGCGTGCGTGTATTTCTTCGGCCGGCAAAAAAAAAAGATTCAAAAAAAAAAACTGCAGGAAGCCACGCAATGCGCGGGAAGCAAAGCAGTGAGATGTGTCATCGAAGCCGGCGTAAACAACCGCGGGCATCCCTGTGTGGCTGCGAAGAGCCGTCTTGGGTCAAACCAAAAGACAAAAAAAACACAACAACAGTCAAGGTCAATGTAAATAAAACAAATGACACGACGCATGGATGGCGCGCCTCAGCGCACACAGACACATAAAAAATGCACCGCCATCGCCTCGGAGCCACCCACCCACCCACACAGAGGGAGAAAAAGAAAAAGAATACACCCATGTTACTTGGATCATGCACTGCTTAAACGAACACTGTCTGCCCTCCCACGCGCCCATGAAATGCCGCAAATGAACTGAAAAAACGGCCGCTAGTGGGAGCCCCCCTGTCAAGCTTCCCCTCCAACGCAACAGGATTTTCAAGGCGCTTGGATGTCATCCCATGCCGCGCATCTGCGGCCACTGGCAGGCCGCCAAGCACCCCTGCTGGTAGCCTGCAAAATCCTTTGCGCCGCAACTCCCAACTCCTCTTCCCAACCCCGCCCGCTGAGCTCCACGACGCAAACAATGCATCCGAGTCTCACTCGCCCAGTCAACCTTCCGCAGCACCGCCAGCCCCGCCGCCGTCCCACACCAAAAGCTGCTGAAGTCCACCACTCTCTCTCACACACAGCGACTGTAAAAAAGTTCACCCAGGTGGATGCAGCAGCCGGGCGTCCGAGTGCACTGGATATTCGGTAGCTCCTTCTCCTTCACGCCTGTCAGCAAAGGCTCAAAAGCACGGGCGGCGTCGTTTTACGCACATACAGAGAGGAAAATAGACGCATGCGCTTCACTTCATCCTGTGCAGTCTGTGTGCCAAATTTCAGAGGCAGAGAGCAGGGCCCGTAATCCTTTCAGGCGAGTTACGTCAAATTCCTCCCAGCAGAGGCAGAGTACACAGCCACCGCCGCCGCGGCTTCTGATCGCATAGCAGGAATGAGTGCGACAAAATATTGCCGCGATTACAGGCAGCGCCTCAATGTGGAGGCGGCCCAGCTCATAGGGCCCGAACAGCAACGCGGGGAGACGCCAACCCCCCGTCGGGGTCCTCCACATCCCACATAGACGCCGCCCACCGCGAACGGCAGAAGGCCGCTGCAAGGCCACCAAATCTTCCCCAGTGTTGGCCCGGGAAGCAGCGACGGTTGCGCACCCCGCATGTGACACCGCCTGCCGCGCACCTTTCCGCTCCAACTCTTCCACCCAGCCTCGCCCACTTTTCAGCTGTGGCGCGTAAAACACCAACGCATTCACCGCGGCGGCAAAAGTACCTTCGCTGTCCCAGAAATTGGCATCAGGCCTGAAGAAATCATTTTCTACGTGGTGAGAAAAGAAATAAATGAAAAACCAGAAGCAAGTAAAAACAGGGAGGCAAAGTGAAGCATGGGAAGAGGATGTGTGTCCTCTGTGACCCCGCCGCGCAGATTTTTATCGACATGTTATGTGTCATCTATAACAGAAAGGCATCTATGCGGCGCTGGCGCTCCTGCAGCAGCGCATTTTGCCGTTCCTGCCGCAGCAGTTCACGGATAGGTTCCTTGTTTCCCAAAATCCGGGGCCCGCCTGCGACATCCTCCCGCCTCGCAGACGCTGCCGCCCTCTCCTGCAGAAGGGCCTGTAGTTCACGGCGTGTTTGGTTGTAAATGGCCCAACAACGATCCACATCTATACCTTCGCTGGTGCCACTGTCGGAGCTCACTGTCGATGCGGTGGCGGAGACGGCAGGCGATACGCCTGTCAAGTCATCACCGGATCGCGGCAAACCCATCTTCTCCGTCGCTGCCTCCGCCACGTGCAACTGAGTGCGTAGCGAACGCACCTCCGCCTCAAGTTCCAGCAGCCGCAGCCGGTGATTTGCCTGCCGCTCCGCCACCCACGCGCGATCCCTGTCGGATGACGCGCCACAATCACCGCCGTGTGCTGTCGTCGGCACTGCCTCCACATTCCCCTCCGCATCCGCCTCGTCCTCGCTGTCCGCCGCAGCCACGACAAAATTTTGGCGCACCTGGCGTGTGATGCTTCGCGCCCGCGCAGCGTACCTCAACGTCGAGAACGTCTCCTCAAAGCAGGTGCAGCTTGGGGAGACTGTAGCCAACATGACGGTCCGTGTGTTGCCGCCCAGGGACTCCTTAAGCAACCGCGTCAGCTTGCTGTCGCGGTATGGAACATGGACCTCCCACGGGGAAGTTTTACTTCGCGTGAAAACGGTCTGCTGCCGCCGTAAATGAGACGCATAAGAGGCAGCGTCACCACCAAACACGGCGCCCCTGCGCCGTTGCTGGCGGCAGGCGGTTCCGAGGGCCTTGATGCAGTTTCCCAGCGCAAGGAGGCTTCGATTGATGTTTGCCCCCTCCCTACGACGGCCATCCAACTGGCATGGTACGCCACCGATGCCATGAGCGCCAGATCTCCCTGCAGGGGCAGCGGCCGTCAAGCTAGCGAACCCCGACACTCGCTCGCTACCGGCCAAGTCCACCATCCACAGTTTTGCTGTGAGAAATGAACACAACACCTGGGCCTCCCTGCGGTCTGCCTCGACGTGCCGCCCACCACCCGCATCCGCCGCCTCCAGGACGTCACCGATGCATCGCCTCACTGTAAACTGCACAATGGCGTGGCTGCGTGAGCTTGCCTTGTTAGTAGCTGTGGCTGCCTTGGTGCGACGGCCGCCGCCCTCTTCTAACAGCTGTTCCAGCTCCGCTACGCAATGCACACGAACACGCGTTGCATGCGGCACCTGCACCCCATGCAGTGGGTGCTCCACCACCTCCAAGTCATCATAACGACAGGACGAAGGACGTCCGCACCGCATTCCCTTCATCCAGCCCTGCACACTCTCTGCCGCCGCGACTGTGGCCGGGTCAACGAGAAGGTCACGCAACCGCTCGTTGTACAATTCCATGAAAGAAACAAATATCATGCTTCTTTGCACCATCTCTTGCTGTGGAGGGCCTCGCACTACACATGCAGGAACACCGGTGCCGGGAAGCCACGTGGGTCGGCTGCGCTGACCAAAAAGGTCGGCCGCCACAAGCGTGCATAATCCAGGCACACCCTCGCCCTTCTCCCCAAACACGGTGTGGCTCTTCCCTGTCCCTGTCTGGCCGTACGCGAAGACCGTCCCGTTGTAGCCATTTTCCGCGTCAATCACTAGTCGCTGGACAAGAGCGGCGTAAATCTCTTCATTAGTAGCCGAAGGTGGGAACACCGCGTCAAAGTTAAAGCACCGCACCCCATCCTGGCCAGACAGAGCACGCCGCAGCCCTTCCACGTCCAGCTGCAGCTGCAGCGATGACCCCTCCGGTGAGGCAGCACAGCTCCGCCACAGCGCGGTGGCATCCCCACGGGCATACGGGTCAACAAGAACCACACTCGCCTGCGACTCCCCTCTTTCTACTGGGCGAACAGTAGCCGCAGGGACCGTTGAAGGCGGGGCGGGGCAGTTTAGAAGGATGCAAGACTGTCGCCCACTCCCGCGCCGGACAAGCCGCGGCGAGGCGGCGACCTCTTCGCGGGCATCGAGGCGTCGGCAGCGGACAGCAACCACAAAGTTTGCGCGCTCACTACCCTGTCGCCCGGGCAGCATCTTCTACCCGCCGCCCTGCTTCCTCTCCCCCTTCGCTTCCACCAAAAGCGGCTGCCCCTCAGAGCAGGCAACGCGGACACATAAACACAGACGAAACAACGAAAATACGGCAGCGATGCAAGGCGGCAGCAGCACCACCAACAGAAACAAAAAACAAAAAATAAAGCGGCAGATGAAGTAAGAGGCGTTTCAAATATATAAATATAA